AAATAATTAAAAACGCATATATATGAATTAAAGGAAAATAAAAATAGTGAACCTTCTTAAGCTGCGTAACTTGCTCTTCCTCTTTGCTCAATCCCTCCTTAAGCTTCATCCCTTTTTCTGCTTCTTTCTTTAGTTGTTCATGAATGTATTCAACTTGAATTTCCAGACGTGTCTTCTGATTTCCAAACTCCAGCCTGGACATACATGGAGTAAAATGTGTAAAGTATAACTTTATGCAACAAGTGAAATCAGTAAGCAAACTGGTATTGCAAGCTAGACAATATGTAATTGCAACTCTGCAAAATGAGGAAGACTACGCAGCTTACCTAAAACTAAAACTACTGCCTAGGAGCAGCAGGCCTGTTACTGTCCAGCAAAGCCTCCTCTGTGCCACATCTGTGATTACTTTTCATTGTGCTACTGAATCTCACTCTTTTTCACTTGGGGCATAAGCCCAGCCACCCTGTCCAATAAGAGTGTCTTGCTAGCCAATAAAGTGGTCTCATTGGACAGGGTGCTGGGGAGACCTTCAAAAATAAAATTAAAATAATCTCTTTAACCCTTCTCCACTCTCTCTAGAGAAAAAACAAAGGTTTTGTCTGCTTTTCCACTCATTTCCAATTTTTACTGACTATCCAATACATTTCTATGTCACACAAAATGACAAAATATGTCTTTGTAATGTCCCCTTCGCACACCGTACCTTTATACCCCAAAATCCAACGGGTGCTGGAACTCGTGGATGACACCACAGTATACAATCTAGAAGATATGTTGTCCGCACACCATTCTGCTTCGGAATATCATCTTTATGCGTATTCCTTTAGCATGACATGTAGATGCAATGTTTCAGAGCCTCATGGAACCCGTAAGGCAAAGTGTGTTTGTGTTCCTGGGGCTCCGAAACATTGCATTCACATGTCATGCTGAAGGAATGCGAATAAAGATGATATTCCGAAGCAGAATGGTGTACGGACAACATATCTTCTAAACAGAATGACAAAAGACACATCAGTGCCATTTCTTCTGTCACAGAAAATGCAACACACACAAACATTACTTCATCTAATGTACCTTTTCTTGTCAGTTTCTTGGTGTTGTTTAACATGCTCTTCCTCATAATCGCGAATGTTTTCCACTCCTATCTCCTCACAAAATCTCCTAAAGACTTCGTCCTCCAGCTACAAAAACACTGTGTTAGTATTTGTTTCAATTTCTTTTTTTGTAAAGGGCTCTTTCACTGCTTGGAAGCACTAATTTCATGCAAAATTCTTTAAATATATCTAAACATTTCTGAGTATTGGACAACAATCTCTCCTATTTATTTTCCACGAAGAGAAGATAACAGGTTTTTGCTGCGTGCATTCAGATGCCAAAAGCCTACAACTGTTCTTGCTAGTGCACCAATGTAAGCAAGACGGGGTATTTTTGTAAAAGGGCACCCTGCCTACGCACACCTCACACATACACACACTTCATTTAGGGTAACTATCACTTTGAGCCAAAGTGCGATGTTTTTTCTTCAGGTATGACAACACATTTTGGTGCTGCAAATAATTCACAAAAGCAGTCATTATATGCAAACACGTTCTAGCACAAGATGCTATCAACAAGCCATTTTAACAAGGATTGAATTGTCAAATAAATGTATCTACCTTATTCATTTGTTCTTGAAGGTCTGTGGTTTTCACCTTATGTCTTTCAAGTTCTTCTGTTAACATTGTAAACTGACATTCAGCATTTGAGAACTCACTTTCCAGCCTTGATTTTTCCTGCAAATTAAATCTAATTACATTTTGGTTACTTCCCACATGCAGAAAAAAATGACAGCTGCCTGCCAAAAACTCAATCATGCCATCTCATTTCAAACATTTCCTAAACTAGGGTGGCTACCAACATTACATGCTAACAACAATAGGTTTTACCAATGTAGCCTTCTAAATTATTATCCAACAGACAACACAAATCAAGCCACTAGGCTCAGCCAAGTGTTCATGACTGTGGTGGTGAGAGCACAATTAAAGTCACTAAACTCAGGAGTTAAATCTTACAAATACATTCAGGTGCCTTAACTATTAACAAAAATGTATCTTATTTGTGTATCACTCGGCTGTAGATCCTCAAATCATCTCTGAATTGGTGCTGACACTGTCCTTCGTTTTGGAGGGTGCCTATTTTTGTTCCCCATGGTCCCTGTGTGCGTTGATGAGATGTAACTCTGTTTCAGAAGGGTCCAATTATTGGCCTGCATCAAGCAACTAAGGAGATTGCTGAAACTACTAAAATTGGGTCCAACAAATTATTAAAACCTGGAAGGATAGTGGTGAACTATCATCTTCGAGGAAGAAATGTGGTAAAAAATAGGATTTTGGTACTCACCGTAAAATCCTTTTCTCTCCGTTCATTGAAGGACACAGGGAACAGATCGGAGATCATGTACTGTAGGGTAATATCGCCACCTGCAGGAGAAGGAATAAATCTTGAATGATAGTGATTGGAGATCACTTAAACATTTGGTGAAATCAAATTGTAAACAATCAACAGCAAAACTCACAGCTATGCTTATTAGTGATAGTAAAAGCATTTCCACATGCACAATGCAAAGAGAACTCAAGGGTGAGTCTAATCAGAAAAAAATAGGATTTTGTTACCATAAAATCCTTTTCTTGGCATCCAGAGTAGGAAAGGAAAAAAAGTACTTTCAGCTAATGACAGTCTGTTCTGACAATCCTGGCAGATTCAGACACAATAATGCACACAGCCCCTACCGGTGTGAGGTACCGCAACAACCTGCTGCAAACAGCAGAATATTTGAAGAATGGCTGTGTAACAGTAAAACACAGAATATTTCCCCCCAAATAAAGGGATTTTTTAAAATTATATTTATGGAAAATCAGAAACAAAAGGAAGCAGAGTCAAAACCACTCCATCTACCTTCACCGCTGATAAAAGTGCACTACACCGCTCTGAGGAAACCAGAAAAACGGAATGTGCATGCTTGCGAATGCACAATAGATAAAAACAAGTGTGTCAGTCCAAATCGAAGTCCCGGGAAATTTAAATAGAATTAAATTCCACATAAAAGTATTTAGCCAAATAGTAGTCTAAAAGCGCAAAGTCAAAGTAAAATAAAAGAAGGGAAAACACTCAGCCTTATAAACATGAGGTAAATACATTTATTTTATTTTTTTCACTCATGTCTTTGCCCTGTTCCTCACATACAGTAACAACAGGAATGCCCAGGTAATAATAAAGCAGAAGAGAAGGAGACATCCATTCTCCAGAGGACACTAAGCGAAACCTGGTAGGTGTGAGGTGGGAGGGGTTATGTCCTTAAAGTGACAGGCTTTTTATTTCTTTGCCTAGTGTTCATTTTTTGCTAGAGGCAGCAGCATAACCCTATGTCTCAGAATGTTTCAGTGCTGTGTCACTCAATGGACAATAGAGAAATGACCTCTTTTTAGATCTCATTAGATTATGGTCACTGGTATCCATAGGAAGGCAATGCTAGAATCAGAAATGGTAGTGAGGCTGTATTTTATTACCGCAAAGCAGCTGGCAAGATTTTTCTTCTTAATAACTTCTAGTTCACTTTGAGAATACTTGAGACGGGTTTGTGTTCCTTGTATCTGAGCATGAAGCTGCTTTAAATCACTCTCCTTCCTCTTTAGCTTCATTAGCTCCTAATAAAAATGAAAAGAAAAAACTATTGAAGATGCTATATACATGGTCATATGAGAGTTATTCTGTTTCTTTTTGTGTAATTCACAAAGGCTGTTTAATGACTTACAGCAATTAGATCATTAATATGCAAAACTTTGAGAGCCCTCTTCTGAAATCAGCCATACGTAGGAGGATTGGACATTAGAGAGGTACTAATCTCACAGAACTGAAGAACTATATATGGCAGCAAATCAATCTTAGGCCACATTATTTTAGATAAGGGCTCGGGTTTTACACAGTCCTTGGCTCTTATGTAGTATCTACTACTGCAAATAAATATTAAAATAGCAATATTACTTTTAGTTCACTTGTCAAAGCATCTCTTTTTTCTTTTAGTGTGGTTATCTCTTTCTCATCCCAGCGCTTGGCTCTGAACCTCAAATCACTTGAGCCTCCAGATATCACACCGGATTTCAAGAACATAGTTCCATCCAAAGATACGGTCTGTAAGACAAACAAATCACATGCACATTGTTCAGTAATATGATGATTAAATAAACAGAGGGTCAGACTTTCAAAAAGCGGTAGGAAAGGAAACAAGGGGGTGTTGCCATGGAACATCAGTTTAAACCTGCCTTTGAGGTGGGCTTTAATTGGCTGCAATGGCAAACCTCAGACATTGTTCTTCCTCATTTTTATAAATCAAAATCAACCAAGGTAGTATTTGGCTTTATTTCAGTAATACCTAAAATGAATGTTGCAAGTCCCTTAACAGCAGTTGAGGTCTACTTGTGCTACTCAAATAAAGTGGATGTAGGAGAAAACAGCATTGCATTAAACTGAACCTGTGCTTTCCCTATGCAAGGCAATATAACAGGTTCACTTTATTCCTCACATCCTTAGCAGTACACACTTTAAAAAATAAAATTAACATTTAATGAGCAAATACAATACATTAAACAGGAGAACAACCATATATCTACAAGACAAGGATACAGTCATTTAGCATACATCTCTTCTGTGTAGAGATCTACAGCATAGTAAAATTGGTACCAATAAACAAAACAGAGTGTAAAACAAATCCTCAAAAGAAAGAACAGTAAAGTCAACAAGCAATTAATTAAGGGGTTTGAGAAACCAAGAAAAAAACTAAACTTAGCTTAAGCCAATTGCCTGCTGTCAATTTGCAATCCCATAGGAACCAGTTGAGGAGGACTGTTGTGAGCGACATTAATACTGCTATACGTGTCATAGGGTTTCAGAGAGCCAGGGACCCCACACTTTATTGTATCAGACTGGACAACCTATGTGTGCATAGACAAGTTTTTTATAAGGTAGTGCATCCTTCAAGACCTTCTTCCAGTGAGTCAGAGACAGGTAGTAGAGCTCCAATGAAGAACAAACACTTTACGAGCTTGAAATAGTAATTCAAGTAGGACTGTGAGCTCTGCAGGAGATAATGGTAAGTCTTGCAAAATACCCAATACATACATATCAGGAATAAGGGTGACAGGACAGCCCATGAGTAAGTCTTGCACAAGTATCGAAATCTGTACCCAAAAGGTGTTAACCACTGGATAAGTCCATGTCAAATAAAAAAAGAAGCCTGTAACAAGGTGGCATTTGGGGCATAAAGAAGAGACCAGTTTACATGGGGCAACATAGGCATGATGCAAAGTGTTAGCAGTACATACTTACTTACTTTGACTACACCCCTGCACACTTCAATCAGACATGGGAAGCGAGGAAAACCAGTCCCATGTAAGCTAAAGTCAGTCTTTCAGAGAGCCCATATAGAGCTGACTATCAACCGGCCACATGTGACAGTGCTAGGCCAATCATAAAGCACTTGCACTGTCCCACTGGGTGAGTCACAATTTCCACCATCCACTAAAGTAACGGTTGGTTCTATCGCTCCCACCAGATGAACAGAACATTAGGGGAGTGATGGGAAGGTAAATATGTACTGCTGGGCAACAAGCTTTAACCCCTTCGTGACTGACGACGTACAGTGTACGTCGCCAGCATCGGGGCTGTTTAAACAGACTCCCGGCGACTTTTGCCGCCGGTAGTCTGTTAAATTTTCACAACTTGAATCACAAGTTGGCTGTAAAGTGTGTTTTCTGAAAACCACAAAAGCAGGACATTGGCTACGTGTTTAATTTCCAGCTACAGGCACAATACTGCATTCAAAAGCAAAAAAGGAAACAGAGATAAATAGCTCTTCACTTTATATTGATTACTGATTATGGTGTTTTGACTAGTAGTATTAAATGAAACATGGAAACACTAATGGAACTTGTAATAAACTTGACTTACTTTTTGCCTCTCAGGACCATCAAATGCAATATGTCTTGCCTCCTTGACCGTTTCACACACCAGGCCATTCCCACATACAAACTGAACCACTTTTTTTAGCGAGGCACTTGAGCATTGCACTACATCAATCAACATTTTGCAGCCTTTAACTTCCCTCAGCTTTTCATTGATTGGCTTTAACTGAAACAAAATGCAAATTGTCATTTATTACAACTTCACAAAGCAGGGACGGATGGAGTGACGTGAGTTGAGAGTACCTAATGTCTCTGCATTGTTCCAATGGTCTAAAACTACATTGCAAGTCTTTAAAGTGGACATGAACTCAAAACAAAAAAAAATTGCCATTTTATAGGGGACATCTAGAAATGTTAATTGTGCCTAAATACTACCCTGAAAGATTTAACATTTCTGGTAGAAAATAGCAGTGTACTTCTTGACATGTGAGTGTGTCTACAGCCTCATAGCTGTATATCCACAGTGTGTGTACTGCTGCTTCTGACTGCACGTCTCACCAGATTTGGAGATGTCACTACTATGCTGCTCACTTTTCTTCTTGCTGAAAGGAAGCTGTACCTGGGGACCTGCACTGCACGCATCTCCCTGCTTTTGCTTCATCCATTCTATGAATCTGTGTTATTAGTTTCGCTATATTCAGGAGGGCAGCCCTGTTTATGTACCAATATGGCCACCTCCACACAGAGACCCAGTGCAGAAAAAGGCAAGGCGAGTCAGTAATGGAAAAAAGATCGGCTGCAGAAACCCTACAGGCAATACTGGTGACAAGTCTTTTGCCCTCTGCTTGCCTATTTGGGCACAGTTTGGGGCCTCCGGGTAGTTCAAGTCCCTCTACACAGAAAGATGAAGCAATAACCATCTTTTAGATTGTAAGCCCTCAGGGGCAGGGCCCTCCTTACCATCTTGTCTTGAATTGTATTGTAACTGTTATGTCTTCCTTATATTGTAAAGCGCTGCGCAAACTGTTGGCGCTATATAAATACTATGTAATAATAATAATAACCATCACTAGTAGATCTCTGGCTGCCAGGAAACAAGAAGCTGCTATCACAGGTTTCACCTACAGTTTCAAAAAACAAGGAAATCTATTGCATTTGCGTGTGAATTCCCTGTTTTTGTATTTTAGTATCTTGCTATTAGCAACCAAAGAGTACATTTTTTGTATTCACCTACAATGTGACCTCCTGGTGAATTTGAGATAACAGCTTGTCTATTATTCTCATGTTACCGTAATCACAAAGTTGCACTGACAATGAAACTCACATGTATATAGTCCAAGGAAAGGAATGTCTCAGGCTCAGCTCTTTCTTCTTTGAGAAATCGGATGCAGTCCCTCGCCACTCTCTCACTTGTCACAACAATGGCATTCATGTACTTCCCAAAGACCTTGGTAACAGCTAGTTGGTACTTTTTGTGAATTGGATGACACAGCTCGAACAATCTGCCAAACTTGAGATAACAGAATAAAAAATACTGAAATGAGAGAACGAGAGGAGACACTGTATATACATATAATCTAACAATGCTGTTTATTAAACTGCTTATTTGGTAATTTTAAGAAGCTCAATATTGCATTATTACATTATTAAGTACAGACTTTATGGGAGGTGAAGATGTTTTTTTTTCTTTGAGATTCTGATCTTCAGCTGGAGTATATCTTCTTTTTCTGAGGGTTTACAAGAGTTTAACAAGGCGAGTCTACTTTAATGCCTCCTCCCCAGCACACATTTGGGGAACTTAGCACATATGGTGATCACTCCTGAAGCCGTTTTAACATAAAAGGACAGTTTCTTTATTTTTTACAAACAAAAGAGACCTTTCAATCAGCAAACGAAACACAAACTCCACTTGTCTTGAGCATAAATCACTGGCTGCCCGCTCTGTTCGTACGAAGATTTTCCAACCGGCTCCATTGATCAGCTGATCAAGGGATTCCAGCACAAATAGCTTGATTAGTCCTAATACATGTCTCATCTAAAATACACTAAGGTGGTCAAGTCAGCTAGAACTAGGGATGTTCAGATACCAGTGCCGATACTTGGCATTTTCATGAGAACTACCAGGGTTGCAGTGGTTGCATCTGCGGCTGGGCCCTGGCGCTCTACCACTGTCCTGAAATCATTAGTCTGTATTGTTTTAGAAAAACTGCCACATGACACTAAATAAAAATGTATCAGTAATTGGTAATTGCAGAAGAGACATACTGTGGGGTCTATTTTTAAATATTTTCACACAAGATTCAAACACTGTAAATCATGGGTGAAAGTTGTGTGAAAATATTTAAAATACCTCTTCTTGAATAAAAGATTCTCAAGTTCCTGTTCAGAATCTTCTTTAGTGTATACACTGAGCTGTGCATGCAAAGGTGGAGCAAAGGTAAATAGAGCAGAGTGTATTCTAGCTTTAAAGCCTTCTTTAGTTCTCCTTCCTGTATTTCTTTTAAATAATAGGTATACATTGCTTTATTATTTTTTTTACAGGTGTCTTCTGTTCAGTCACATAACAAGAGTTGTTCTCTTATCTGCTGGTGGTGGGTGGTCCTTAATGCAGCACAGAAAGTCGTAGTGACATGTGGGGGCAATTCTGCGCAGTAGTACTGTAAACCTAGGCCAGAATAATGACATAGGGGGCATGCCCATGACTCCCTGGGCTCACTGATGCAAATTTTTATTTTATTTTGTTTACTTTTAGGTGCCGTGGGCAATTTCATTTTTGAAATCCTTGTGTAGAAATATAGTAGGTATGAATAGCAGGAATCAAGTAAACACTCCAACTAACACTGAATATGGCTGATTGTAGATCTAGTTCCTGACTTCACATGTCCCTTAACTTCCCACTAAAAGTCAAACTATTCAGAGCTATAAACCACTAAACAGCTTCCCCATGAGAAACAACAAGAGTCTGGAGATGGAGAACCACTTTAAAAGGTTAAATATCTAAATCTCCACAGCCTATGCACTTACTACAGCGTCTGGGTACATTCTTTTCATGCTCTCCAAAATTTCTGCTCTCCTCTTCTGGCTGTTACTTTCATGGTAATCGATCCTGGCGTTCTGCAGCTCACTAACAGTAATGTTCAGCTCCTCATTCACTTCTGACATCCTCTGATTACTGTAATCTATTTCACGAACGAGCTGTTCCTCCTGGCCCCTGTGCTCATCAAGGGCTTTGCTGAAAACAATTAGCACTCACATTATTTTATTAAGTCAGAAGTAGAGGTAACAGAAACACCCTTTAGAGATAGTCCCAAGACACACGGTGGATAAGAAAAGCAACAAGTCTTACTGTGCACTGCATTTCAATACATTTTGGTCGACAGCTTTGACAAGTACAAATAAACCACAAAAGAACTATTACAATGCTTGCACAATTTGGAAAAGCATTGCCCGCAGGTGAAGTCAATAGCATGCCTTGAAGTACAACTATGGTCAAAGAGCAAAAATGCATATGTATTGTGGACTGCAAGGAGAACACACAAAAGAAGCACTGCTCCTCCATGGCTTAGGAAAGGAATGAGGGGGGTGCTTGCCACTGGGAGCATGTCCTCGCTCCAATATGAGCCCATACAAACAGAAGAAAAGCTGGCTGAACACCGACTTCCACTGGGATAGTTTATTGAAGCTTGTACCAAATCACTGGGGTCCAACCCAAGCTCTCCTGCTGACGCGTTTCACCCAATCATGGGCTTAGTCATAGAGATCTCTATAAGTAAGCCCGTGATTGGGTGAAACGTGTCAGTGGGGGTGGGCCTTGGGCAGGACGCCAGTGATATGATACAAGGTTCAATAAATTATCCCAGCAGAATCCGGTGTGCAGCCCGCTTTTCTTCTGTTTGTATGGGAACAATAAGACTGCGTTATTTTTTTCCCGCAACCGTGGCTCAGGCCAGAGGGGGCTTGGAGCGATGTCAGTTTACTTCTTTGTAATTACGTTTAATGGCCTTTTAGTATAAGTAAACATTATCCATATGTAGCACATACATGCAAGTATTGATGTAGTCCTCTAATTTCCCCACTCTCCTGTTGTAGTCTTCAATTTGCTCCTCTACACACTTTTTGTTTACCTGCGGAAAACAAAGCAAAAAACTTTTCTTTGATATTTTAGGTTTTAAAAACATAGCACTTAACAGATGTAGACAGAAAAAAACATCCTAATGAACAGGTTTTGCTTTACCAGCGTTAGTCCTGCTACATAATTACCTCTACTTCTTTTTGTCTCCTCTGCTCAATCGCTATCTTTTCTTCTGTAGCCCCCTGTTCCCAGTGAAACTTTTCCAGCTGCTGCCCCAGTACAGCATTCTTCTTTCTCGCCTCATCTTTTAACAGCCTGTATTGATCCAGCTATAAAGACAACGATGTTACTACCGCCTATCAAATGCTAATCAACTACAAGCAAATACAAAAAATTGCCTCTTTTGGTCCACTAACATATTTATTTCACTAACCTGAAATAAGGAATTAACCCCTTGCTTTAAATATTTGCAGTGGAAAAAAAAATTACATTTAATTGTCTTCTTATTTAAACAGCCTGCTGTTCGGCCGTTGTAATTAAAAGGAGAACTATGGGGTCAGGGCTTTTCCCTATAGTTCTCCTTAGGGTAACGGGAGGACACAAACTAGCGTCCTCCCGTTATCCTAAGCTCAGTATACCCTAAGCTCAGTATACCGCGAGCTACAGCTCGCGGTATACTGAGACGCCGCAGCCGGAGCGGATCCCGACATCGATATCGAGATCCGCCCAGCTCCGTAAGTGACAGCTGGCTCTGCCTTTCTAGAGGCAGAGCCAGCTGTACCCACCCCCTCCCCCGTCCAATCCGCCAGTCAGCGCTGGCGGATCGGAGCGGGGAGGGGGGAATCCAGACCCTCCCCTGTCACGGCAGAGAGCCGCGACAGGATCGAGAGGTGAGCGAACGCCGGTACATGTTCGCTTCACTGAGCCGACCTGTGACAACGAGACTGTCACAGGTCGGCTAGAACTATGAGGTGAGTGAAAAGCACTCACCTCATAGTTCTCCTTCAAAAGGCCGGACAGCGGCTTCTTGGATGCTGGTGGGTGTTTTTAGACGTCCCGCCCCGCCGCTAGGAGGCGTGCACAAGCGGGAAATCGGCTTGGAATGTATACAGCCAGCGAGTCTGTATAGGCACTTGTATTATGCGTGCGGGTGTGCGCCCCCCCTCCGTTGCAGCCGCTGCAGGCGATCCCGAGCTCCGCCGTGCCCAGTGTGAGCCCGGGACCAGCACAGGAGCTCTGTGACCTGAGATCAGTACACGATCTCTGTTAGATCTCCTCCTCCCCGTCGGAATGCAGGAAATGATGTGCATTACATAACTTCCGCATTCCTTTGTCACTCTCTGGTACAAAAACCGGAGAGAAGCTGGTGAAAAGCAAGTCTTCGCTTCATCAGCTTCTCTGGGGGTCCCTAGGTGACATTAGGGGTCTTAAAGACCCCTGATGTCTCCATAAAGAGGACCTGTCACTGCAAATTGGCTATCACATAGGGGGCTTGTTATCCCCTATGTGATAGCAATAAAGTTAAGTGAAAAAAAGGTTTAAAAAAAATTAAAGTTACAAAAAAATAATAATAATTCCCCCGCCCCCCCCATACACATGGAAACATGCGTTGAGTGCGTCTACATGCGCAAACAACGATTGCATCCATTGCGCTGCACATGTTACATATCGCCGCGAACGTCGGAATGAGAGCAATAATTCTAGGGCCATTAATCACTGATAACACTAAACTGATGAGCAGTAAAATCTTTTAAAGCAGCACCTATGGCCAATTTTGGGTATGGTAGTTTTTTGTGAGTTCATGGGCACACGCAAATTTTAAAGCTTGACATGTTTGGTGTCTATTTACCCGACGTGACCCCGTCTTTTATATTTTACCAAAAATTTGGGTAATACTAAATGTTTTATAACATAACGTAGGGAAAACACGTTTTTTTCAAAATTTTTGGTATTTTTTTCATTATATAGTCAAAAATTAAAACCACAGTGGTGATTAAATACCACCAAAAGAAAGCTCTAGCTGTCCCCAAAAATTGATATAAAATGTCAGTACAGCGCTGCATGACAGAATAAACATCAAAGTACTGCAGCGCTGAATACTGAAAAATGGCCTGGACAGGAAGGGGGTATAAACACCCCGGTCAGCAAGTGGTTAAGAACACATACTGAACTTTGCATTGCTTTCCCTTTTTGGCCTGCTGTACCATAAACTGCTTTGCTATCTTAGTTGGGTCCCCCTCAGGCCTTACATAATAATATAAGCTAAATAATAAAAGTGCATGTCTGGTTTTCAAAAGAGTAGTAAAGTGTACTTTATACTTCTCATGAATCAACAAGGCATATCCTTTCATTTTAAACAAAAAAGTTTCTACTCCTTTTTGTATATACAAAAAAAACTGCTCACAAGCAGTCTAGCATATAGCAAGAACACATAGAAGCCAATTGATAAATCTTCCGCTCGGTCATTACTACCACTAGATGGAGCAAATATATCACCCAATTAACCAAGATCAGGAAGCTATCACATTCATGTGGCTTTGCAGCACATACATGCCCCACTCTGAGCACTGGTATCTCTATGTGCGCCAGGTCAGAGTTGGTCAGTTTGCTAATCTGTAAACTGGCTGTAATTCCTTTTGAATCTGCCACAGCCACAGCTTCTTAAAGTGACAGTAATAAAAACTACCTGAATCTGTTGCACATATCAGAATTGCAACTGAAAAGGTTGGAAGGCTTTAACCTCCCTGGCGGTATTCCAGAGTCTGGCCTGCGGTTAACTTTCAATACCAGGAGCGGTAACCCCGAGCCAGACTCGGGAATGCACAGAAAAGTGTCACTTACCTTGTCCCTGCGAGCCCACGGCGTCCTCTGCTGTACGCGGCCGGCCGATGCCGGCATCTGACTTTTAGTTTTGTTTTCGGGCGTCACAGCCGGCGGGAAATTCAAAAGTGAAAAGTTGCAATGTACACAGAATACACACAATACAATGTAATCTGCTATGATTACACTTATGTATCAAACTATTTCACTTCAATTTTGTCCCTAGAGCTTTGTCCAGTGCCCTGCCTGACACTTTTTCACAATTATAAGAAATTATAATATAATAAATAATTATAAAAAATTATAATAAAATAATTAAAAAAATGGTCCAGTAAATGGGAATTCTGGGGGCGTTGCCTGATCCGTACCACAGTAAATAAAGTACCAAGTTCGCACATCACTGAGCTCGGTCGCAGAATCCTCGCTGTCCTCACTTTCAGTGTCTGTTGAGGAATTTCCCAACGAATCGCTATCACTCAATTCTGCAAGTAGTTCTAATTTACTATCGCTGTTTTCTACCTGGTCTAAAACCGCTTTTGACCTAAAACAGCGACGATTCTGCGACCGAGCTCAGTGATGTGCGAACTTGGTACTCTATTGACTGTGGTACGGATCAGGCTGCGCCCCCAGAATTCCCATTTACTGGACCATTTTTTAAAATTATATTTTATTATAATTATTTATTATATTATAATTTCTTATATTATATTTTTTTAATTTCGTGGTTTAAACTTTATCATACCTGGGATGTCTACTGGACTCTTGTTTGGACAGATTTAGGCGAGTTATTCCTAATATTTACTAAGAATTACAGGCCTACAATATAAAACAACAAATTTCCATGAAAAACAATGTACCGCTTTGGGATGCTAAAATCCTGAATAATCATACCACCAGGGAGGTTAATGAATTGGATGCAGGTTGTTTTAAAGGGAGCAGAAAAACCACCAGAAAAGTGCTGTACGTGCTTTAATGAGTTTCTCCCACATTACCAGTGAAAGACTCAGCTTCCGTTACCTGACTTTGCTCCAACTCAACATCTGCCTGTCTTCTTAAATGATCCTCTTCAAGCTGACGATCAAATACTCTCCAGGCCTGCTGTACTTCATCAATCTCCTTTTCCATCCCCTTAATGTCTTGCTCCAGTATGCCACAACGTTTCTCACTTTTCTTCAGAGAAGACTTGGTGATTTCAACCTTCTTCATCTGGTGTGCAGAATTTTCTTTTGCTTTAATGAATTGGGGCCTCAACTTATTTAGTGATGCTTCGAGAACTCTAAAGTGATGTGAGAAAGAGATGACCAAACTGGCTGCCTCTGCAAACTAATCAATTTGTTTTTGTTCTTCAAGAGATCAGAAAAAACAGTGATATACATATATTGTTCAAAAGTATGTGGACAAGTGTTTAGCTGAGTTCAGGTGTTTCTATTGAAGGGTAGCATACAAAGACTTTTTAGACAATTATATTGCTTCCAACCTTTTGGCAACAGTTTGGGGAAGGCCTTTTTCTTGTCCACCATGACTGTGCCCTTGTGCATAAACCCAGCTCCATAAATAGATGGTTTGATGAGTTTAATGTGCATACATTATAATGAAAGAAAACCTTGCCGGACTTTAATGGTACTCATATTGCAAAATGTATTTGCTTTTTTTTTTAAAAACTTTACAATCACACATCTACTGTAGCAATGTTTTATATATACCCTGGTACACACTTTTCCTGAGTGAATGTCTCATTTCATAACTGGACCAATTACCACTGATATTTTTTGGTTGGTATAAATACATGCAGTGCATATATCTCAACATATGCAAGGTCTTAGTATGGCCAGTGAATGAGGAAGACCTCAACGCCTTTCACAATATTATGCAATCCCCTTATTTTATAAGCATCTGTGGTCAATGGCTCAGAAACTGCTAAGGCCACAGGCAGATCAAATAAGGGAACTGCTGGAGAGGGGGCAGGAACGTGTTAATGGCCCTTGCAATCAGACTCAACAAATACCTGGGTAATTTGGGTCATAAAGTCCTTCCTAACTGTAGTAAAAACCTCAGCCCAGAAGGCAGGGGACCCAGCTAGAACTGACGGAGCCAAAGAGGATTTTGAATATGAGAGAGACTCTAACAGTACATGTCAACATGACTCCAGGCATCGGCACCATCAGCAGAAAGTGAGCCTGGGGCACCCAGTACAGTGGGACTGCCCCCCCCCCCCCCCCCCCCCACAGCACCC